AATGGCGAAAGTTGAAACGACTTAGGTCATTTAACTTGGAACTTTAAAGGAGATCATCTAAACTTTCTGGCGAAGATTTAGAAAAAATCTTCAGATTTTTCAGAAAATGTTTATAATATGTTAATTTTTAATAATAACTAATTGATTGATATTAAATTCTTATAGTATTATATAGCAAAATTTATTTTTAAGATAATAAAGAATTTTTTGTTCAAATCGAAACTACAGGGTGGGCCATCTATTGGTACGTTTTTACAGAGTGGGCCATCTATTGGTACGTTTTTAAAAATGCGATCAAATGAGCATACATTGAACGAGATTGAAGTTTCAACTTTTGTTATCAAGAATTTGTTGTTAAATAATGGATGACTCCTTGATCTAGTTTTTTAGACATTCGCAATTCTTCTGTTCTTCAGTTCCATATTAACATAATCATTGCGACTGGTTGTGAGAGTTATCGGAGTATGTTTACGATTTACGACAAGGTAGATTTTTGAAGAAGTCTTTCTTGCGAAGTCACGTACTATATGAAGCCTTTCAAACCGGAATGAAGGTTCGTGAAAGCAGTGGAACAATGTTTTTAGTAGCTAGTATATAATTAAATATTTATATCTCTATATAAAATTTTTTTTATATAAAATTATGTCGGGCCAGATATTTATTAACATGATGAAAATATACTGGATAATTGAATAATTATTTGTACAATTCGATTTATATTTATCAAAAATATTTATTCCGTTTTGAAATAAAAAATTGTGCGTTTAACCTATTTTTACAAAATTAATTGTATCAAACAATATATTATATATGAAAGAATTATATTTTCTTATTGATATTTATAAAAATATTGCATTAAATATACATAATATTGCTTACGAAATTGTGAAGCTTAAATACAGGCTTTAACGAGAACATCACGTCGCGGTACAACGTGCACAATCTATCGAGTTCTCACTGAACTATGTGTACACATATAGTAGCTTCTTAAATTTTTTAAACTGTAAAAGATAAAATCTTTTTCTCAGCAATGTAAGATACGCAATATCACATCGATTGTTTTTAAATAACGAATTGCAAGAAAAAAATATCAAGATATCATGCTAGCATCAGTATATAAATATCATGCTAGCAGTAACTGGAAGGAAATATCATTTTCTCAATTACTGTGACATTTGGCTGCATTATGCAAGAAATTTCCGCAAATCGCCAATCTTGTTAAATGTGATCCGATACATTCGTGTGTTACATATCCCTTACTGTCATACGTAACAAAATGGATTTGATTATATACTTTCATTACGTTTAAAACACATGTAACATATTGAATTAATAAGATCGGAGAATTTTCAAGTAAAAATTTGTTTAATATTTAAATATATTTTATATATTTAGTGAACGTTTTTCTATTCGCGTCAAGATTGTCCTCCAATTTTTGGGCGCTCGTCGATAATGAATCCATAACCCACTTTCGCAATGGACAGCTGTCTCCGTTTTCGCATTTTAACGGAATCGATTCGTCGTGGGAAGGTAAAATTGCTCGGGTCGACTCAAGTGAGGACACTACGATAATTATGAGCGCCGGTAGTGTCTTTTACGTAATCATGCGCCGTCAAGATGTCGCGAACGCGGGTATAATGATAAAAGTGCCTGGAGACCGACAACCAGTGGAGCGGAGCGGCGCACATTGTCTTCGTTGGGAAAGCATTATCGCGAGCGGCAGTTAATAACCGGTATACGTCACCGTGGCAAGATACACCGGGTGGTCGATCTCAAGATTCCGCGAATTGGCATTTCATTCTTATAGCAGTAACACTTAAGAAATACCATGCAATCATATTGACGGTTCCTATTTTTCAATTAATTTTTAATAATTATTAAAATACATATTGTTTTCATATACTTTTTAAAAATTATTTTTAGATCAATATTATATTTCTCTTGTGTAATGGGAGTCTGAAATTTTTTGACTTTTTAATAATTATGTGGGAGAACGCCTGCATGGAATGCAGGAGATCCATTCGAATCCTGGCTGGGATAATATTTTTCGTAATAAATTATTTGCAATTTTTAAGGTGCTTACTAGCATCAAATCATTAACAGCTTTCTAAGATGCTTATTTGCAGCAATATTAAATTGCTTTTAATTCATGATTTGATTACTCCAGCTTTAGTTTAGGATTGTATTTCAAGAGCGATAAATAATTGGTATACAGCTTGAACTGGAAATTGTATAAATTCACAAGAAATATTATTACGCACTTTGACCGAATGGCACCTTGACCGAATGAGCGTTTTTCACTCATGAAAAACATTGATAAAATATTTATTTTTTCATCACTTTTTTTGTTTTCATTATTATTTATTTGTCTAGTCATTTTAACATATCATTTTAATATTGATATGTCTAATATTATAAAATCGAATAGTTGCTAATTACTGCACTCACAATCAGAGAAAAAGACAGCTATAGCAACTGTATAAGTGATAACTATACAAGTTTTATATAGTTTTATATAATAGAATTAATGTATATATACATATATGTATAGTTGAATAAACTATTTTATAGTTATTGCAATTATAAAATATTCTTTATTCAATTATGTATTAATTTTAATTTACATTACATTTACATTACATTACATTTACATTACATTAATTTTAATTTACAATACATTAATTTTAAAACTTGTATAATCATCTGTATAATCGCTGTCACTATACGTTTTTCTTTGAATATGGATCAATTTGAAAATCAAATTGATTTTTATTAAATGTAAATCATTCAGTAATGATTTAGTCGCTTAAATCGCGAATTTTAAATTATTTAATTAAACACTTGTTTTGTATTTTTTGTAATTGAAAAAATATGAAGGCACATTGAAAGTAAACTTTTCGCAATCTGCAAAAATCAGTCCATATCTACAATCAATAGTGCGTTTGAATGATTTCTTCAGTAGTGATACTGTAACGTTCAAGCCTTGTAACTCGAAAAGTACTAATTAAAAAAACCTTCATTGTAGTGTTTTGAAAAGCTCTCGAGGTAAGCTATAAGAATATGCAATAAAAAATGGGAGGTTCCACTTAAAAAAACATCAGTCACATTGATCTAGTCTAGAGGTCATTCAAGATCAAATCTATATTTTCATCATGTCTCCCTTAATATCCTACGACTTTGGTATAAAACATTTTTCCATTACAATCTACAATCGTTTCCGAAATAGAGCTTGGGTCAGACTTTATAGACATCCTGTATTTACGATAATGCAGCAATTATTATCCAATTATAAAATCTTAGTGACATTCCAAAAGAAACACTCTATATAAACTCACCCTTTATTTATAAATTTCGTAAGACCCGTCCAAATGTTTTTTGCAGTGTGAGCGTGAAACATCGAAAACAATAATTTATGTCGACGAAGCCGGAATATAAATGCACATAGAAATGCATTTACACTTTTACAGGTTCTGTAAGATCTCGATATTGCGTGAAATTAAATGTACTCTTTTCGTAATAATAATGCAAGAGTGATTTAAGAAGATTAGTCTGTGTCTTACAAGTCATAAAATAAAAAGAAATAAGAGAACGAGATCTTAAAGTTGTCAAGTTTTAACAATAAGATGAATAATTAATAGTATTTTCGACTGCAGAGGTTTGAGTCGACCAAAGGTCAATTAAATGATGTTACATGTTCTACGTACTTTGGGTTTCACATAAAGTTATTACATTTAACAACTTTGAAAATTTGAAAGGAAGATGAATCTTCAAAATCAACTTTAAACCATCAAAGTTTAAGGTGCCTTCGAAGCAGGGATGTCATTTTATAGACATGTAGAAAAGATTGGCTTGCAAGCGCCGACGATATGTTACGCAACACACACTAAGGTCCGGTTCTACCAATGTAAATTAATCTTGCTAAGAATTTAAAAAATATAAAAACAGAAAGTTAAACCGAGATTAAAGTTAATCTTACATTGGTGGAACCTGTCCTAAGATATAAGTCCATGTCCGTATATGTCACGCTTCGATCAACTTCGGATGCTGAAATGAAATAGAAGAACGCTAATGTACAATTTGCTGTCTCTTTTCTGAAGCAATAAATTCTCAAAATATATATATATATTTTTGAGCAATGTCGAATTTTTATTATTGAGTTGGCGATGTGAGGCGCAACGTTATTATCTAATCTATTTTTCTATAAGCCTTTACACATTAATAATATTTTACAAGTTATATTTTTTAAAAGTTCTTATAATAAATATAAGATTAACATTTGTATATAACAATCCACTCAATATGTACACTTTTTTATTTAAAAAGCATCTTATTAAAAATTATTTTTAGCACGTTTAATGATATTTAAATATTAACTATTGAAAAAATTGTAGTCTGTAGTTCTAGTATTTTTATTTTGTTAAATTTGTTTTCTCTCTCTCTCTCTCTCTCTCTCTATTTAAGTAACGGAAAGAATAGTTTTGCTAAAGTATGTAAAATTTTATATAGATACAAATCTCAATTTTTCAATTCAAGCAGTCAGATAATTTTAATTTTAATCCGTTTCGTTCGGAATTATAATTTTCAATTCGTAATCCTCGATCTCCAATGCGTAGTGTGACATGAGCCTTAGTGTGTTGTATCGCATATGATGTAGCGCATCATAAGCGTTTGTGAAATGATATCCCTGCTTCAAAGCTTCGAAAAGTACACTTGTGCAAATAGAAAAAAAATGAAAAATATGTTCATAATATATTTTTATGAAAATATATTCGTTACCATTAACTTTATTAGATTAATAATTTCGATTCTTCGAAGATTTGAAGATCAAAGTATCGAAGGTTCGAATGTCGAAACCTTCGAAGCAAATAACTAGTTCTAGTTTCTGATTTGACGAGTTTATGGCACTTCCAAATGAATCGATCCAAACTCACTGCAGTCGAAAACGCTACAAAGGAATATTGATTAAATTGAATAGAATTAAGTTGCAAAACGATACTTACTCGTAAGGGACGCTTTCAAACAGGTAGTCAATCGAATGAGAGCGGCGATCAATGGTGGACGATGTTCCTCCAGAAATCTGTCGTCTGGAATAATGTACGTTAATTAAAATTTCGATTACAATTTTAGGAGACACGGTAGTGTCTCGGCGCTAATATTATTATTACGCCGCAGTGATATGTGTTGCAATTACATGCAATAATTCACTTACACTCGAGGTCCTCGTAGAGTCGATCGATTGGCGTATCGTCTATGTTCTCAACGAGACCATCGATTATCTTTTCGACAAAATTTTGGATCGCGTACACCATGCGTCTCTCTTCCCGATCCTCCTGAATCTGCTCCACGTTGGAAATTGCAGCTGCATTTCCTGGGAAACAAAATTTAAAGTATCCTTTATACTTGAAAAGAAAGATTCTACTGAAATATCTAAAAATTTAGCTAGAAGTCTGAAAATAATTTGTTTGAACCATCAAAATAATTATATATCACTCAAATGACGAACAATACAGCAAAAAATTTTGATATTCTAACAATCAGCTTGAACGTTTTTCACAATTATTGTGATAGTCCGATAAAATTATTTTCAGATTGTACTTAGCTAAATTTTTAGATACTTGAAGCAGAGAGTTGTTTTTTCCATATAAAAATATACCTTAATACTCGAAGCAAATTATATTCTATTCTATACTATTCATCGCTTTCTTATTCAAAATTAGAATCAAGTCTAAATATCTTAAAGGAATGATCTTACTGATTGTATACCTATACGTATACTTCGATTTGCGATAATGCTGAGTATATAAATTGTCAAGATTGTAATCACGAACCGTCACACAGTTATGGAACCATGTTTCTTCCGCGTTTAATTCGAATGTCACATTTCGCATATATACACACTCATTCCTCGGCATTGCGGAACCACTTGAAACTTTGCGTTGTCACCGTCATCGCGTCGTCTCAAATCGTACAACCCGTCCGTCGCGGGACGAAGAAAAGTCGCTTTCTAAATCCCGGACCGTACATCACTCCGTTAGATCGCTCGCGCTCTTTCTCGATCGAGCGCGTTGATACGATTCACGTGGTGGATCACGCAGCGCGCACCGAACAATGAGCATCACCGTGAGAGGTTTTTCGAACCGTTCTTACTGTTCAGGTCTCCCTCCGTTACGCGACTTTTCTATAATACCTCGGAACAAGGACGGACGTTCCCCGATCGGGTATAGAACGGCTCATGCAAAGTCGCAAAGAAAAAGAAAGCATACGCCGGACGTTCCGGAACACTTGTGATACGCCTCCCATTGCACCGTTGCCTTGTTGTAAGGCTCAGAAATATTTTGACTCGATGTAACGTCATAAAAATGTCGCTGCGTTACCTGCAACATAAAGGCGCGATTTGGCGATGCTAAAGACGCTATGCAGTTCCTCCTCATTCGCCATGCCACCGAAATTATCGAACCAGTTATCATTCCTCTTCAACCACGATCTGCAAAATTACGAAACGATAAGTCAGTCCTTTCAAATGCAACTTTTGTTTAAAACAATTTTATTAATAAAAAACTTTTATTGATGACGGAAACATTATTTACGATAATTGACTTGGAAAATTTTTTAATGCTATAGGCTAGACTTAACGTTAAGCTTAATGATAGAGACTCTAAAGAGGCCTCGAGAAAAATTAGATGGTTCGTTTATCGAACGAATGGAGGATGCAATTCGAAAATAAATAATATGGTAAGGAATATGAATACGTGTTATTGCAAAAACCTTTGTTGATGGCAGAATATGCAGTGCCAGGCATTGTCGGATGTGTCCCAACGCGAACAGGCCTTCCTACAGGACCGGGCGCCGCAATCACTGCAACGCACGCCACGGTCGATAAGAAACGATGCCAAACAACAGGCGCAACGTCTGTCGAGGACCACTCGTTTCGTTTCCTTCGCCTTCGAATTCTTCCTAAATTTTTTCCTTCATAAATCAGGATGCAAATATCGAGGGGGTCGCGCAAATAATGATGGTAATTACTATGTAATCACGCGTATATGTGCATTGATCGCTGACACACATTATTAATTGTATTAATTATTAATGGAACGAACTAGATTCTCGATGTCAACCGAGGAATTTGGCAAAACTATTTTATCGAGGGACACAATGTAATCCACTGCTGACTGAAGTATTTTAAATTTTCTTATTTAATTGTAATCTGTCATAATATTTTCCGACGTTTGAATTCTTTGATATTTCACTGATGATTTTTTAAATTTCATTTGTATTTGTTATTTACTCGGTTTGTTAATTTAATATTGTATTGCTGCGTTTTAACACTGAAGAAGGCTTTGTAAGAAACGTTTGTTTAGAATATTATTTAGTATTTATATTTTTTATGTTAATTATATTAATTTAAGTTATTCTAATTATAAGCTCGAAACAAGCCACGAGATTCACACATTGTTCAAGTTAATTAATTATTAATTTTAGATCTTCAATTAATTTTTTGATTAATTAAATATTATTAAACATTATTATGTTAATTGGAGAATAAAAAATATTTACATATTTATTGCATAAGTTATAGCCAAAATATCTTCCTTAATTTTTATACTGTGGAATAATAATAATATAGACGTCTTTTGAAATGACGATTCAGCAAACCGTCTAATCAGTTTTGCAAATCATTGATAAAATTTATTTATAAATTACGTATTTACGCTGATACGAACATATTTCATACGAGTATTTATAGAGGATGATATTTAAAGTTCACATCCAATATAAAATAAAATAATAATGAAAGAATAAGCTTATATAAAAATCAATTCTGTTTTAAACCAATATTTTTCGAGTTAATTTTACATTGTTATGCTGAAAAGTAAATACGTAATTCGTAAAAAGCATTTTAAATTAAAATAACGTTGTTTTATGCATCGAAAGTGAAGCATGCATATTGAGAGATGTAGCCTTTGCTTTTTGAAATAAATTGATATGGAATTTTCCTTAAATAAAATACGACAATATTATATTAATATATTGATCAATATATTTTAATACTTAATTTCGCTTTCTAAAATATATCCCAACTATAAAATATTGAAAGATAAATTAAGGATTTACTCAAAACAAGGAATGTATAAGATGAACAATACATTTATTTGGATATTTATAGCATAAGTTACAGCCAAAATATTTTCCTTATTTATACACAGCGGAATAATAATCCAACATAGATGTTTTTCGAAATGACAATTCAACAAACCGTCTGATCAGTTCTGCGAATTTGCACTGATTAAATTTATTTATGAACGTATTTACACTGATACGAATTTTTTTCGTGTGAGTATTTATAGAAGATGTTATTTAAAGTTAACGTTTACATCCAATATGATAAAATAATAATCAAAGAATAAGCGTATATAAAACGTCTGATAAAACTGTTCGAATTTATTATATCACGAAGCCGCAACAATCTACTGGAACCACGTATTCTGGGACACAGTTGTTACATATTTACAACGTAGTAACGGTACCAAATAAACGCGCTTATTGTATATTCATGCCTATTAACACAATGCATATTTAATGTACAAAGTGTCCCGTAAAAACGAATAAGAGACGAAAGTTTTTTTTTCGAGACTATAATTGCCTGGCAAAAATTATTAATTTTTAAAATTTTTGAATTGAATTTCCTGTTTGACTGGGACGCTTTTAGTTTTTTTTTTTAATCAAATCGAATATTATTTGGTATTTAAATAATCTATTATTAATTAGATTGTATAGGAATCTTTTTAATTTTTGCTTGAATTAAAAGTTCTTTTAAAATTGCATAGCATATTATTTCATTCATATACTTTCCAGCACTGAATAATTTGGAATTGTGTTCTAAATTAAAACAAAATAATTTCAGAAATAATGTTCGTTTGAGTTATAATAAAAAAATATAATTTTTTGTTTGTTAATTACAACTCCAGTAATAAAAATTTTAGTTTAGCAGCGATCTATAATTTTTGTTTATTTAAGAAGGATTTAGTCTATATTGTTGGAGAAAAAGTCCGTGACATTTCTAAGGCACTCTGCATATCGATATTACTACATGAGATCCCACATTATCGAAACCTGTAATTGGCGCGAGCCAATAGTAGATATGAAGGAGAATGTAATAGAAAGTATTTATAAATAGGTATAGCATGGATACGATTTTATGCTACAATAGCGCGCATTTCTAGTTATTTTTTCTCGGTCATTGCGCGCACTTAATTAACAGTTTATATTTATTTGGAAAGTGGCAAAAGTCAAACACGCATGTCATAAATCGACGCTGTTATTTCTTTCTACTTTATAACACGCAATACTGGTTATCCCAGTCAAGAAGTTAAGTGGGATCTGCCTAACATCATTCCGATTTGATTGTCTGAAACATGCGATATTACTTTCTCTTTTTTTTCCTACAATTGTGTTTTTAAAATAATTAAGTAATTTTTCATATAAATATGCGGAAGTTTTATATAAATACGTGGGTTCTGAAGAATGTATCTTTTTATGTCATGAAAACGTTAGCGTTAACGAAACTGTTTCAATGGCTTGTGTCACTTTCCGAATAAAAAATAATTGAAATAATTTAAATATCAGATATTCCTAATTTGGCTGATGGCCGCGCGTGTCTAATCTTCGTGATCGAAGAACACCGCGGCCGCGTTTATTGAGTAATTATATTCATCCCGTTCCATGTCGGAGGTAACCACCTTCACCACCACGACTTCGATGGTAATTAGCAAGAACAGGACCATAAAAGTTGCCATATTATACCTTTCCTGACCGGGCACAACTTTATCACTCTCAATTAATAGTGTCGAGATCAGGGTGGAGACGTAAATCAACATGTTGCTGAGTGGAAAATACGAGGAAGTTTTCTTTATAAAAGAATGAAGATGACGCTTTGTCTTCTAATTAAAAATTACGTCTTTTTTTCCTAGTTTTCTAGAAAAGGACTGCAATACTTGGCACAATGTGAATCATGGAAAAGAGATCGTGAAATTATATAATTAAGTCAATTGTAGTCGCATACTCCACTCTGACTTTTGAGTAGATAATTATCGTCGCTTTTTAAATCACGTGGCACTATCAATTAGATGAAAAAAATTTACAGTTAATGACAGTTAATCCATATCAACGTTGATCTTTCTCTAAATATTTCTCCGTTTATTTTTTAATCATAGGATATTAATTAAATCAGTCCGAAAGAAAAATATTAGTTAATTGTCAATTATTTCAGTCGAATATTTCTAGCTAGCGTTCGATCGACCTCCGCTGATTTCTTGGAAAATTAGGACCACCCAGATACCACGATGCATAAACTTCGCAAATTAAGTTAATACGCGAAAGTTCCTTCGTCCCTAATCTCTTATTTACGACGTTGGACACGGTGATTCGGCGATTCCGCATCTGGCTACGATGATCTTCGATTTCCCTGTCGACTTCCTTGGTTCATCCATTCCACGTTCCGGCATCCTCCCGCAATTCCGCATCCGCTATCCCGATCCCGTGCAACGAGAATTGTATTTCGTGCTGAACGCGCTCCAATCTAAACGCCGGTTACGCGATCGCGGCTTTCCACCACGCGATCGACGGCAGTTACGTAGTTTTATGTAACGTTGCACACATCACGCTATCACAATTGAGCTTCCACACTTTTTACAAGTACACACTTTATGAGAAAAATTATGTACTTAATTTTACGTAAGAAGTTAATGTACCAGCGTAAAAATTATACACGAAACTAATTTTTTATTTGAGAAATTTGTTTAAGTTTTAAGATCTTAAATCTTTGCGCCCCAAGAGTTTAGTTAATAATTTTCTGTTTTTTTTTCCTCAGTTTATTACGCTGAATTGCTATTTCTTTCTCGTTTTACTTCTGCCTCACGTATTCACGCGCAATTGAACATGTTCGCGTAGTTTCACACTTTGATTTCTCTAGGAAATATTTTCAATTAGACTCTTTTCGTTTACCTCTTCTTTCTTTTCGCTTTTTTTCTGGATTCCGTTTTACTTTTCACTGTAGATTCTGTTCTGTTTAACTGGTGCAATTAATCTTGAGGAGACGTATTCCCGATGAATTAAATTCTCTCTGTTCAATTGTTTCTTGTAAGTAATTTCTTGTCACTTAAACTTCTTAATCTCTTTCTTTTCAGTTAATTCTGTCTCTATCATGTGCTCAGATCAACCAAATTTATATACTTGAAACTTATTCGAGCTTCTCCTTTTCTTCCTCTTCTTATTCCTTATGCTTCTTCTTTTTCAGGTGAACCTCTTGATTAGCTTCTTCTTTCTTCTATTGCTTTTCTAACGTTTTCACAAAATATTAGCTCTTGTTTTTCATCGGTAGGCTTGGACAATCCTCGCAATTCGATCCCTACGATCTTCTTCCTCTCTTTTGACTCAATCAATCCTTTTTTTATTTTTAACATGCAGTTAGAATTACTATGATGTTTTGATTCTGCGAAAATTCTAACGCTGCGTCTTCAATTTCTTTAAGTAATTCCTGTATTCGGATCCTTTGTTACGTCTTTCCTTTCACTGTGTAAGCTATCCTTACTGTCTGCATTCCTCCAGATAATCTCCGCCAAGTGGCTTTTCTGCTTCTCTTTTCCTTTGTCTTCCTCTCTCTTTTCTTAAATTTTCTTCTTTCTAACTTGCGACTTCTCCGATGCTGCTATCACATTCTGGTTCGCTGTTTGATCGGACTGTTTCAGTAATCTAGACTAGACAGCATGAAGGGCTCTTTTCTAGTTCTTAATGGAGAAGGCAAGAAGACTCTAATCTCAAGATTTTGACAGAGTTTTAATTTAACTCACGCCTTTGATTATATTGATGACAATACGAATTTGGCCCGCGGTCAAACCGCAATATATATTAATTCACTCGGCATGACATTTCCGTGGACCACTCACGCCGCAGAACCG